GAGCAGGTCATGAGGATYGGGCTGGACCTGCCCGCTCTGAACATGCAGCGCAGCAGGGACCATGGCCTCCCAGGTGAGGGGCTGCAGGAGTCTCCCTGGCCACCTGCAGCCCCCATCCTACCACCCAGGGAGGCTACAGCTCCCCTTCCCACTCGGGGCCCTGCCCTTTCCATGCCCTGAGCTGACCAAAGCTTCCCTCACCCTAGCACTTTGTCCTCAGGAAGTCATCTGAGGTCAGGCACCTCCCTCTCCCTGGACCCCTCTGATCAAACTCTAGCTTCTCCCAGGCTCCTTTGCACGTTCCAACCTGCAGGAGCAGCGGCTGCAACAGTAACTCAGTGTGAAAATCTGTCTCCACCATCATTTCATTTTGACCTGTTGTTCATGAACTTGGAGGGGAAGAGATTGTTACTTCCGCTTGACTGATGAGGAAACTGAGGCATAGAGACAGTCAAAATCTGGCTAGGTTCTCTAGCCAAATCAGTGACAGATCACAAACTTGGACCCAGATCAGCCTGACCCTAAAGTCTGTGCATGGGTTATGGGTGGCCTTTGAGTCTTTGAGACGCCCTTTACCCATCATGGGTCAGAGGTAGACACAATGGGTTGCTCCAGGGGACAGTGAGATGCCCCGTTCTTGGACCTGGCAGGAGTTATGGCAGTTTGGTGTTTGCCTTAGGATGGGAGAGCAAAGGAGAGACAATGAGGGTCTGGGGAGGCCTAGCTGTCCCTCTGGTCCTGAGTCAAGGGGTCAGGGCTCCCTCTATGGCCTTGGGATGTGGAGAAGTTGGGTTTTCTGGGTTAATGGCATACATCTGAATCCTCCCTGCTGTCCCAGTGTCCTCCCCACCTTGTAGCAGGCAGACCATCCAGAGCTCACTGCCCCCTCTCCCATGCAGGGTACAATGCCTGGAGGCGCTTCTGTGGGCTCCCGCAGCCCAGCACAGTGGGTGAGCTGGGCACGGTGATGAAGAACCTGGACCTGGCAAGGAAGCTGATGGCACAGTATGGCACGCCCAATAACATTGACATCTGGATGGGTGGCGTGGCTGAGCCCCTGGAGCCCAACGGCCGTGTGGGCCAGCTCCTCGCCTGCCTCATTGGCACCCAGTTCAGGAAGCTCCGGGACGGAGATCGGTGAGGAGGTGTTGCAGCAGCTCAGGCTGGCTGGGTGGGTGGCCATGAGCCTATCTTTGAAACTGTCAGGGGCCCCAATTTCCTCCTGTCAAGTTAAGGGCTGCAAAGAGTCATTGATTTCCCTCTGTGTCTCAGGGAGCCTCCAGGTCATCTTTAATGTGTCCTGAGCCTGTAGKGGTACAGCAGGGAGGAAACTGGAGTCCTGATTTCAAAAGAAGGAAGACAGAAAAAAAATGCCACTCTTACTACTTCGTTCTCTGGGTTTCTCTGTGCAACTATGGAGATGTCAATCACCATCAAATAGTCCCAGCATAGCTTTCCCATGGCTTCCCTTTGTGTCATTTCATCGTGGTCATGACACCTTCATGTCCAGTTCTTACMTGGTCCATATTGCACCTTTGGGAATATTAGAAAGTGTCCCCATTCCCCCTTCCTGTGGATGCAGCCCTGGGCACAGGACTTCATGAAGGAGGGTGGGCTCTGCTCCCTCCTTTCTAGTATGAATGGTGTCCTGGAGGCTGCTGGGCTGGGGCCAGAGCAGGTAACCAGAAAGCTGGGCTTTACTCTGTTTTGTGAGTGGGAGACCCCTAGTCTTCCCTGTACTGAAAATCCCTGTATTTCTCAAGGGCCTGGAGCTCTCCTGAGCTTCYGGGTGGAGCCTTGCATCCAGGGAGCACTTCAAGCTAGGTGACACCCTCCAGCCCAGAATATGCCAGCCTCAGGCACAATATCTATGGATCCCCCCATGTAGGTTTTGGTGGGAGAACAAGAATGTGTTCAGCACAAGGCAACGGCAGGCCCTGGCCAAGATCTCCTTGCCCCGAATCATCTGCGACAACACAGGCATCACCACCGTGTCCAGGAACAACATCTTCATGTCCAACTCATTCCCCCGTGACTTTGTCAACTGCAGTTCTCTCCCTGCTTTGGACCTGACTTCCTGGAGGCAGGCCTAGAGCTGGGTAAGAGCCTACCGCAGTGAGGGGTAAACCTGGGCTGGCTCATTGGAACGACAGAGAGCTCCCTTCCCTAGATGAGCCCAACCCCGTTCTGGGTGYCAGTTGAGAAAATGACTGAACATTCACTTGTGTATATTTGTGTGTGTACATGTGTGCATTGTATGTAAATCGACATGTCAAATATTTGTGTTGTCTGTGAACATGGGTAGTATTGTATGTGCATCATTCATGTGAGTGTGCTTGCTGCTTATGAGAATATTAAGTATATGGAAGAAGCAGAGCACAGCCCAGGAGCCAAACCACCTGGATTTAAATCCTGGCTCTGCAGCTGGTTAGCTTCGTGATCTTGGGCAAACCACTGAATCTCCTTAAGCCTGAGTCTTCTTCCTTATARATGACAGCTCCACAGGGAGCCTGTTTGCATTCTCTAATTCTTTTTGTTGTTTGTTTGTTTGTTTGTTCTAATCAGTTATACATGACAGCAGAATGCTCTTTGATTCATTGTTCACAAATGGAGCACAATTTTTCACTTCTTTGGTTGTACAAGAAGTAGGGTCACACCATTTGTGCAATCACACATGTATCTAAGGTAATGATATCCGTCTCATTCCATCATTTTTCCTACCCCCATACTTCCTACCCTCCTCTCCCTCCCCTTTGCCCAATCTAAAATTCCTCTACTCATCCCAAGCTCCCCACCCATTATGGATTATTAGTATCTACTTATCAGAGAAAACATTCAGCCTTGGTTTGGGGGGATTGGCTTGCTTCGTTTARSATGATATTCTCCAACTCTATCCATTTACCACAAATGCTCTAATTCTTCATTCATTGAGCACCTACTCTATGCCAAGCACTGTTCTGGGCATGAGAAACAGAGGCAAGAAAGGCAGATACCATTTTTGCCCTCAAGAAGTTTTGTCCTCCATAGCAGAGGTGAACCAGCCTCCTCTGGAGGACGGAGCCTTTAGCAGTGGGCTGTGCAGTTGAGTGATGGCTCAGGGCAGCTAGGATCGGTCCATAGCTCTCCTTTTCCTATCTTACTCTGTTCTCTTGCTTATTCACAGGAGCCTGCCTGGAGAGGAAGGAGGGGCTGTTGACCTTTCTGTACCAWTTGTTTGTACCTGATGTTTATAATAATAAACTGTCACTGCTGGTGATCTCCCCTCTGTCTGTGTCTGGGAAGGGGCTGGAGCCCCAGCAGGAGGCCCATTCTGTGCCCTAAATTGGAGCCAGTGTGGTCSGTGCCTCTGATCAGCTGGGAGGGCACCAGAGAGTCCTCTGGCCAATCCATACCTGGAGGGCAGTCAGTTCTTAGAAGTCTTGGGGCCAGGCCAGGCTGAGCAGGTTCTGGTCCCTCACCTTCCACCTCTGCCATCTGAGGAACAGGAACATGGTCCCCAAGCCCTGATGTTCATTCATTATTCTGGCAAATGTTTACTACATGATCTGACTGTGTCAAGTGCTGGGAAACAGAGGGGACACAACCCTGTCCTGTCGGGGAGAAGGATCAGAGGGCTGGCAGGAAGACCCTCCCCAGAAGACAGGGCACCTCTGGGTCCTGCATCCTACAACCTGGGACAGTGATTCAGAGGCCATCMAGATGGTGGAATCCTCTTTCCAGATTTCAAATCACCAGGCCCCTAGAGCAAGGACAGCAGATGGCTGGGTCTGGAGGACAGGGCCAGTGCTGAGGGAGAGGAGGCATCCCCCACCCCAGGATCTGGACCCCCGTATCTGACTGGTGGAGCCCCTTTCCTGCCCTTCTGTCTTTCCACATAGAGGGAGGGGTACCTGCTACTGGAAGCCAAAGGTGTGTGGGATGTTGGGGCCTAGTGTACTTGTGGGCCCCCAAAGTGAAGCTAGGCCCTCACTGTGGTGAGTGGCAGGATGAATACCAGTCACCTCCATGTCACTGATGAAGAGAGGGCTGTGTGGAGAGGGGAAGTGGGCATCAGTCAGGCCCTCAGCCCAGGTCTTCTGCCCTGGGCTCTTCCCACAGGACAGCTGAGTGTCTCCTACTCCTACCTGTCAGTCACCTGGGATGACCTTCCTTTGGAGGGCCATTTTTTTTTTTCAAAAAAAAGAATGTATGGAAATGCACTGGGCAGCAGCTCAAGGAATGTTCTGGAATTGCCCCTTCAGAGGCTTGACAGGCTCTAAGGACTGCACAGGAAGAAGAGGGTATTTCCCAGAGGGTAACGAGAAATGAATTCTAGCTGTAGGGAAACCTAGGCTTGGTTTCCMTTCCTGTTTTGTCCCTGTAACCCCTCCCCCACCACATCCCCCTCCTGAGGCCTTCTTCTGCTACTCCGTGGCCATTGCTTCATGTCCCCAGGAGCCCCCTGCGACCTCCCTTCTTTGAGAGTTCTTGGAAATCCCACCCAATCACTCCTCTCACCCCACACACCCATGCACAAGACAGTGTAGGGCCAGCCACTCTGGACTGTAAGCATCTAGTTACTTATCTGGCAGTGTTCCAAGGCCTGCCTTCAGAAAGGAGCAGGGCCCTTGCTAGCACCTTTCATCCACGATCAGCTGTTTATTGAGCACATAAGTGAGCTGAACACCATGCTGAGTGCCTTGGGCTCTACGCAGAAGCAGGAGGAAGTCCCTGGCTTGGGAAGTTCACAATCTCGTCTGGGAGGAAGGAGGAAGGATCAGAGTCCAAGGCCCCAGCCCCAGCCCCAGCCCCAGCAATGATTGTTCAGGGGAGAGGATGGGTGACATCAGGCAAGCTGGACTGGCAGGCCATCCTGGGGGTCTGAGTCTTGATAGAAAGACCATTTCCTGGGGCCGAGGGAATGGGCGTGGAAGTGGTAAGAGCCAAGTAGATGAGCTCCGGAGGCTGAAATGGCACCCTTGGGCTTGAGTGAGCTGTTCATCTGCAAGACAGGTCTGGCTAAAGGAAAGGGCAGGGACTGGGGTGTGGAGTTCTAAGGGACCAGGACATTGAACTTGCTTCAAATGGCAACATGGGCCAACAGGAGAGTTACTGTGCAATGCAGGAGGCCATGGCCCCAGAGCACCTAATTCTCCACTRAGGCCCAGGGTGAGAGGTCCAGCGTATCAATGGCTGAGCAGTTTACAAAGTCTTGGGGGTAGCTGTTGGCCTGGAATGGGTTCAGTGGGACTGTGGTGATGTGAGTGTTGTCACAGACCAGGCGTGAGAAGGACATTTTTCGCAGAGAGTCTTGCTGCTTCTCTGTGAAGACCCCAGGGTTTTCCCACCAGAACCTGCAGAGACAGAAGCGGGGTCACTCCAGGGTCACGTCCAGCTGCTGGCCTCTCCCCACTCTGCCAAAGGAGGTCACTGGGCACATGAAAAGCTCCACCTGTGCTGGAGCTGGAGTTAGTCATGGCACAGGACAGTGGCCCAGTCACCTCAGAGAAGGGCTCCATCCAGGCCTCCTGGGTGGAGGTGTCACTTGCCTGTCTCCATCTCGGATCCGCTGGAACTGCTGGCCTAGGAGGCAGGCCAGGAGAGGCCCCACTCGGCCTCCTTCTACCAGGGGCTCAGCAATGGCCCCTATCCAGATGTCGATGTTGTCAGGGGTCTTGTAGAGATCCAGTAAGCTTCTGGCCAGCCTCTCGTTCCTCAGCACAGCACTCAGCTCCTCTAGCGTCTGTGGCTGTGAGAGGTGACAATAGCCTCTCCAAGAGTTGTACCCTGGGGTGGAGAGGCTGAGGCTGTTTCATCCCAGGGACTTCCTGCTCATGGTTCCCCTTGGGGACAGACCCACTCCAGCTCCATAAGCCCCCAAAGTCTAGACTCACAGTCTTTGGGACAGGGGAAGTAGTGAGCCGTGGTTTTCTGTGTGTGGCACTGCAGTTGGGGAATAACTAGCAGCTTTCCTGGTGATTGCTACGGGCCCTAAGCTAAGCACTGTACAAATGTGTAAACTGAAGGAGAGAAATGGCCCAGAACTAGTCAATGGCACAGCTGGGATTTGAACTTGGGCAGTTTGATTCTTAACTACATTAAATTGCCATTACGGGTATCAAAAAAAGTTCCAGTGGTCATTGGCTTCTCTCTATTGTTTTCTTAATGTTTTCTGGGATTCTAAGCTCATTTACAAGGTAGTTGTTGATCTCCTTTACAGGAGAGGAACTCCAAGATGGTACCAGGTATGTGCTCCTGTCTCTGCATTAGGGAAAATGAAAGATTCCATTTCAGGGATGAGCAACATGGGTTTTAAAAAACTGGCCTGCCTTCTGTTTCAGAATCGATCAGATGCTCAGGGTTACAGAGGAGAATCTCCAGGGASCCTAGAAAGTAGCTACAAGTGCTCCAGGCTGGGCCAGACCCTTGGCCCACTTACCAGGCTGCCCATGGTCCCGGCAGCGCTGGATGTTGATGGCAGCCAGGTCGAAGCCATGGATGGTGCGCGTCGGCTGGAAGAGCTTGTTGCGTACTTCTCCTGTCATCATTTTATTCTGATTCATCAACTTGGCCTTCTTGGCCAGCAGGCCCCGAACCAGAGGATCAATTCCACCTGCAACGGGAGACCCAGAGGTCATCCTTAGGATGGAAGAGGAGGAGGACGTCTCCCACAGCCAGCCCCTCCCTCCACCAGACAAATTACCTGTCTAAAATAGGGCCAACTAAACATCTCTGGCTGGAAACAGCAAGAGAAGAAGATAACACAGGTGAGCTCAGGGAAAGGGGAGTCCAGATTGCCCACTCCTGGGGTGTTAGGAAGGGCCATTCATGGGACGGTGGCATGAATATAAATATCAAGACTGTTTTCAAGTTCTAGTTCATCGAGTCAGCTCCTTCTCTTTCCATCCATATATTGCCTTGAAGAACACTGCAGCATGGGAAGACGGGGGTGGGGGAGGGGTGGGGGATGGGGGGATGGGGGGGGGTGCACATCTTTAAGAAATGGCCCTGGCTTGCTAGGCCCTTACTAAGCTAGTTTCAGCACAGAACAGACTGGAGTAAAGGACAGTTGCATCTAACCTCTGGTACCTCATGGGGTGGAAGGTTCTAGAAGAGAGCAGAGAAGAGCTATTTGAGAAGACCATGAACTCTGTCTTCACAGGGCAGAGAAGCCCTAGGTCATAGAGAAGAGGTAAGGAAATCCCAGGCAGCTTACAAGTTAGAAGGAAGAAAGGAATAACTGATAACCTCTTGTGTGTTAGGAATCATTTTAGGGTTCTCTACACATCTATTTCCTTTAACTTTTTGGATATCCTGACGAGATGGGTACTATKATTGTCCCTATTTTACAAACAAAGAAAATGAGGCTCAGTTAAGATGAATTCACTTGCCCAAGGCCCCACAGGAAGTGCTTGCAGTCTGACTTCCAGGCCAGGTGTCCCTAACAGCAAGCTGCAGCCAGGGGGAGTCAGGAGAGGGAGGGCCCTTTCCTGATTGGACATACCGTCTTTGACCATCCTCCAGGTGTTGAAGAAGAGCGTGTGCAGGGGGAGTTCCGGTTCTGGACCCCATGGCTGATAATTCTCATCCAGGCGGGACACAGTAGGGGGGATCTCCAAGTGACCAAAGCGGAATGCAAATGTAAAGACGTTGGAAATTCGGGGATCTACGGATTCATTGTAGCCTTGGTATGGGGGGATCCACTTCTGCATCTCAGCACCTAACACGATGGGTAGGTAGTCCCTAAAGGTGATAATCTAGAGGGAGAGGCAAATGAGGAAGAAAGAATGTGAGAAGGCTTAAGCCTCTACAGAGGGAGGCTGAAGAGGAGCTGCCACCAAGGGGCATGAGCAGTCAAGGGTGGCAAACAGCCTTTGTACCTTGTTTCAATTCCTATGACCGTGGCAGACATTGTTAATCAAACATGACATTCTTTCTGTGATCTCACATGATTTGTTTCCACATAGGCAAATCAGTCATTTGAATTTGGCATTTGATATATACGTCTCCATGCTTCTTTGCTCTAAGTTTATGACCTTGGTGCGAAAGTGGCAGTGCTCATATGTCATTTAAATGTAACAATGTCATATTATTAAACTTTTCCTCACAGGCYAGGGCAAGAGGGATGATGAACCACAGAAATGAGTCAGGGACCACCAAGGGAACTTCATTCCATCCCCAGTTTTGAAAGAAGTGCTGCACCATAGAGAGGCTGATTCCTGGTTTGRTTTTACTCAAATTAATGAATTACTACAAAAAGAAAAAAAAAATCTCAATATTTATCCTTTCTTTCTTTGTCTATATGATGCCTATTTTGACACAGTTTTAAACCTAGAGAGCATTTCCTCTCTGTCAATTAACATTTTCCACGTTTCGACCTAGCTTTCACAATTATTTTAAAYGTGTGCAATATTCTAATGCATTCATTGAGATTTACTCTCAGGTTGGTTTCTAGTCTGTCCATGGCTTAGCCTGTGGGGATATCATCCGACCAGCAGGCACTCTGCTCCCCAGGCTGTAGAGGATGCAGGAGACAGAGCCCTGCCTCTGGCCACAGTGACTGGCCCATCTGTGGYTCCAGAACAAGCTGGTATGATTCTATCTCAGGAATTTAGATTCTGGATATAGTTATTTCAGATGGTGCTTAATTTGAGAGGACAGATGAGATCACATGGGTGGTTATTTTTTTTACCATCTACTGGAAAGCAGAGAAAACCCATCTGCATTGAGAGTGGAGAAGTAGAGAGAGGAGCAGGGAGGAGGGAGCTAGCAAGAGTAGTTGCCTAACTTCCAGATGATTTCCATTTCCTGGTTTAACCCTGGATGAGGCTTTAACCACTCTGCTGACTATGGGGGTCCCAGGAGAAACCCTTCTCATCTTCCATTTGACACTTCGATGGGGTTGAACCTAACTGAACATCTGAACTAGACTGAGTTGTTTTCTTGTAGGCCCAAAAGCCTTGTAATGGATGAACTTGTGTCCCCTGCTCATCCATATGTCAAAGCTTCCAATGTGTGCATATTTGAAGATGGAGTCTTTAAGGAGGAAACTGAGGTCATATGTTGGTACCCTAATCCAGTAGGGCTGGTATCCCTATAGAGAGGGAGAGAGGGAGACAGAGAGGCAGGACAGGAATGAGAATGAACAGAGAAAAGACCAAGAGAGGACATRGGGGAAAGATGACTATAAGATAAGGAGAAAGACCTGAGGAGAAACCAGACTTGCCAACACCTTGATCTTGAACTTAGCCTCCAGAACTGCCAGAAAATTCTGTATAAGCCACCCTAAAATATTAACACTCTAGTATTTTGTTAAGGCAACCCCTAGCAAACTAATACAATATTTAACTCATGCAATCTTCAGGCAGACTTTTTTTTTATTCTGTTGGGTGATTTCCTACAAACATCTCCAAAAGCATGATTTTGGGTCCTGATTTTTTTTTTTAATATGAGAATACATCTCTTTGATAAAAAAAAAAAAAATAGGTGCATGAGACGTCTGGTTTTAGAGTGGAGTAGACTCATTTTACCTTGCTCTACTCTACTGAATATAATTAAGAACCCTGGAAATTATTCATCAGGCAATAATAAGAGGGATCTAAAAGCTCACAAAAAAGAAGATGGATTGGTTGGGAACCTCAGGACTTGAGGAATGTCAACTTGAGGAATGTCATACCCACAGACTGGGAGCAGAAGAGGCCGTTGGAGAATAGGAACAGGTAAAGAGAAGCCAAGAAAAGCCTCCTGTCTCCTTCTAAAGCGCTAGGACGAGGGAGAGCCAGCACAGACTCAGAGGAAAGCCCCAGTCCCCRCTTCACACCCTGAGTCCTGGGGAAGCCCTGCCATCCCAGCCTTCCATCCACAGTCCACGCTGGCGGGTGGTCTGATCAGCCTGCAGCCGTGGCAGCAGTGAACACTGTGTCCCTTTGCTCTTTACCTTTGATTTTCACCAGGGATACCCAAGTATGTGGCTTCTGCTTCCCCAGAAGGTTGCTTAGCAACAGCTGACAGCCAGGAAAGAACCTTCTTGCACTGTAGACAGGACCAGCTGGGCTAAATGGGGAGCTCAGAAGCACCAGAAGAATGAAGCAGACCAGATCAGCATAGGAAGGGCTCAAGAAACTAAGCTGTCACTGGAACTAAAAAGAACCAGAACCTTCGTGCTAAACCTAATCAAGGTACCTGCATGCTAAAACAGATTTTTTTTTAAATATATTTTTTTAAGTTGTAGGTGGATACAATACCTTTATATTATTTATTTTTATGTGGTGCTGAGGATCGAACTCAGGGCCTCACTCGTGCTAAGCAAGCACTCTACTGCTCAGCCACAACCCCAGCCCCTAAAACAGATTTTAAACAGGATCAAGCGTCTCCTAATAGAAAAGCCAAAATGCCTTAAGAAACAACTGAAAGTCATTCATAATACCAAGAACCAGGAAAGCCACACTGGTGAGCAAAGACAATCAACTGATGCCTCTAGAGACATGAATGTTGGAATTATCTGATAAAGATTTTTAAAGCAGCCACTTTAAAAATGTCTCAATAACTAATTATCAATTCTCCTCAAGAAAAGAAACGAAGGACAGAATATCTCAGCAAAAAGCAGAAGATGAAATAGAATGAAATTATGGGACTGAAAACATAATACCTGAAAAAAAAATACTTGAATAGACTCAATAACAGTAGAGTGGACATAACCAAGGATAGAAATGAAGACAGATTAGTAGAATTTACTCAATCTGCACATCAGAGAGAAAATACACTGATTAAAAAAAGGAAAAAAATAAATAAACCTCCAGCAAGACAGAGTCACTGGTTCTGTAGGACAATAACAAACTATCTAACCTTCATATCAGTGGAGTCCCAGAAGCAGAGGAGAAAGGGAGTGAAACTGAAAAAGGATTTAAGAAAAAAATGCCTGAAATTTTCTCCAAATTGGTGAAGGACATACATTTACACATACAAGAAGAGGAATGAACCCAAAACAAGATAAACCAAAAAGAAGTTCACTCCAAGACACATGACAATTAGATTTATGAAAACTAAACACACAGAAAAAGTTTTAAAAACTGTCAAAGAGAAGCGACACATTACCTAAAAAGAAATATCAATTCATGTAATAGCAAAATTCTCATCTGAAATCACAGAGGTCAGAATGAAGTGGAACATTTTTTAATGCGCTAAAAGAAAAGAATTGTCAATCCCAAATCTAACATCTGGTGAAACTGTTCCTCTGGAACAAGAAGACAGTAAAGACATTCTCAAATAGAGGAAAGCTAAGAGAATTTACTGCTAGTCCATCTACCCTTAAAGAATGGCTACAAAGTTGGGTGTGGTGGTGCATGTCTGTAATTCCAGTGGCTTGGGAGCCTGAGGCAGGAGGATCACAGGTTYGAAGACAACCTCAGCATCTTAGCCAGGATGTGAGCAACCTAGTGAGATCCCATCTCAAATAAAAAAATAAGAAGGGCTGGGGATATAGCTCAGTGGTAGAGCACTTGTCTAGCATGCACAAGGCCCTGAGTTTAGACTTTACAATCACACAATGCATAATGGCAAAAAAGTAAGCATAATCAATTATTTTCTATCCTATAGGTTTCTTTAATAATATTTTATGACTGGAAGCTCTATATGAGGTGGTGCTAAATGTATATAGAGAAAATACTTAAGAAGAATTAAACTTAAAAAGTAGGTCAAGTAAAAGGAAAGCATTCTGACATTTGCTACCAAAAGCACAATCCACAAGAGAAAAAACTCACAAAAATGAGCCTCATTCAATTTAAAATTAAAAGTTCTTGGTCTGCAAAAGACCTGTTAAGAGGATGAAACCCCCCAAAATAAAACCAAAATCAAACAAAACAAATTACCATGCATRTGGAAGAAAAAAATACTTGCAAGTCACATGTCTGATAAAGGACTTGTGTCTAGAATATGTAGAGAACTCTCAAATCTCAATGTTAAAAGACAACAGCCCAAGAATACATGAACAGAACATTGAAGAGGCTACACAAATGGCAAACAAGCACATGAAAATATGTTTAACATCACTAGCCACTAAGGAAATGCAAATTAAAACCACAATGAGATACCACTACAGACCTATCAGTAAGGGTAGAATAAAAGATAATAAGGATATCAAATGTTGAGCAGGATTCAGAGAAACTGGATCATGCATACATTGCTGGTGGGAATGTAAAATGGTACAGCCAGTCTGGAAAATAGTTTGGCAGTTCCTTTTAAAGGCAAAAAGGACTTACTATATGACCCAGTAATGGTACTCTCAGGCATATATTCCCTCAAAAAAAAAAAAACCACCTTATTTTCACACAGAAACTTATACATGAATGTTCATTGCAGCTTTATTCATAGTAACCTTAAACTGGAAGCTATCTAGATATCCTTCAATAAATGGTGGTAATACACACCATGCAGAAGGAAGAACTATAGAAATACACAACCATTTGAATGAACTTCACAGAAATTATGCTAAATAAAAAAGCCTATCTCAAAAGGATATATACTGCATCATTCCATTTATATAAAATTTGTGAAATAGCATAATTATTGAGATGGAGAATAGATTGGAATTTTGCAGGGGTTAGGGACATAGGGGTGAGGACAGAGATAGTTCTAAAGAAGTAGCATGAGATGGTGCAGTATCTTTATTGTGGCAGTAGTCACATAAAGCTATACCTGTGCTAAAATTGCATGGAGCTTCACACACACACACACACACACACACACACACACACACACAATTCCATTTATGACTAGTAAAACCTGAACAACGTTAACTTCCTGGTTTTGCTACTGTACCATGGCTATGCAAGATGTCAACACTGGGAGAGGCTGGGTTAAGAGCCCATGGACCTCTCTGTACATTTTTTTGTTGGTTTGTTGGCTTGCTTTGCAACTTCTCAAGAAGCTATAATTATTTGAAAGTAAAATGTTTAAAAAGTATATATAGGGTAAATATCAACCAATCATTCCAAGTCTTTCTAGTTAGATGATCAAATCTGCAATACCAGCTGAGTGTGCCCATGACACGTGGGTTAGGTGTAGACAATTAAAAAAGGAAGAGAATCAAATCAAAAGAGTACAGGTCACTGCTCTATAGCAGTCCCAGGAGGAATGCTGCCTACAGTCCCAATGCTGGCACCAGGGCAGGCATGCTGAGGCACCAAGGTATGAACAACTCTCTGACACTCGGAACCCAGGGTTTCATTTTGGGACAGAGAAGCTGAAGAAACAAAAGGGGGAGGATTTTAAAGAGCAAGACAATGGAAGAGAAGCAGTAAGGAGAGGAAGGGGCAGGGAGGTGTGGAGAACAGCAGAGGTGGCTTGGGGTACCACAGTGAGCCGAGGACAGAGCCTGGAGCAGGAACCGGGTGCCTGGCAGTGGGTTCCTGCACCTCCGTACCTGCATGAAGGCTCCCAGGATTTTCCGAGCTTCCTGGTACAGCTTCTCTCCATCCCATTGAGGGTTGAGGGTCTTCAGTTCCCTGGCCAGCCGGTTGTGCTCTCGAAGAAACAGGGTGTGGGAAGTGGCCAGCAGGATCTGCTCTGAGGCTCGGGCATCTCCTGAAAGCCCAGAAGACAGGAAGATAGGTTCTCCCTGAGCAGAACTCGGTGACCAGCACAAAGACATGATATTGCCCGCAAGGTGCTCTCCTGGGGGCCCTCCAWCCAAGGGAAGCCAGGTGGAGAGGGATAGGAGAGGGTGGAATCATAGCTTTGCATCTGAATTCTATACATGTATTCTTTAGCTGGGTGATCTTGGGCAGTTTACTTGACATTTCTGAGCCTCAGTCTCATAACTTAGGTGGGAAATTTTTTTATGAATTAGTACCCAACTTTCCAAGAAGGGCAGTTCAAATAAACAAACCTAGGGGCTTTTTACTTTGCAGAGTATCTTTGAAAATTTTATGAAAGCAGGTTTGAGGGCAGGAGCCTGGGTAAGGCTGAATTCCTCTGGGTAATAGAGGGAGAAGAATCTGGAGATGGGGCCTGATGGGGAGAAGGAAAGAAGCAAGGAGGGGGAGGCAGTCAAAATGGTGAAGATCGGGTGTCTCACCAGGGGATTTCTCCCTGTGTTCTTTAGGCTTAAGAAAGGCCTGTTAAGGGGCTGGGATTGTGGCTCATCAGTAGAGTGCTCGCCTAGCACGGGCGGGAGCCAGGTTCGATCCTCAGAACCATGTAAAAATAAAGGCATTGTGTTTATGCCAAAAAATAAATATTAAAAAAAGAAAGGACTGTTAAATTTGCTAATGCTTGGTGTTAGTGGCTATTTTTATGAAAAACTGGAAAGCACTTGGTTCCATGTTTGGATTGGTGTGGGGTCTATGTGGGCACACAATTCAAAAGATCTACCAAAAGTCCTTGGCCTATGGTCTGGCCTTCTGCTTTGTTAGGGTGGCCARAGATTTGTCTTGGGAGAGTAAATTCTGGAGGGTATGTTTCCAGAAGCCAGAGACACAGAGGACCAGGAGAGCATGAACCCCTGGAACGAACAGAATCAGGAGGACTCTGGTTGTGCACAGATTGTGTGGAGAGGTAGGTTTGGGCTAAGGTTCTTCTTAATCTAGAACTTTCTTGTTGAGGAAAATGCCTTAATAAATGTATTAAAAATGAGACCAAAGATTCATCAACAAGAATGTTCACTACCTAAACACTAAGAAAACAAAGAGAAACTAGAATCGCCTCCAAAGAGGATCCAAAAAAAAAAAATCAATTTTGGTTAAGATATACCACAGAATATCAGGCAGCCATTAAAAATCTTGTTGTAGAAGAACAGATAATGATGTGGGATATGTTAGGTGAAGACATCAGATTATAGAGCATAATTTATAGTGTGACACATAAAACGATGAAGAACTATGTGAGAGAAAAAACTGGAAAGATTGGCATTAAAATATTAATGATTGTTGGTGGGTGGTGAAATTATATGGATTTTGTTTATGCTTTTCTGGACTTTTGTACTTGTTATACAGTGAACACATGTTCCTAGATTTTTTTTTCCATCTGGGCCGCTCTGCCAGTCCTGAATCAGTGCCACAGACATTGGTGCCTTCTTGTGCATTTTCCCAAAAGGATGTTGAGAAGGGAGCAGTGGTAAAGCTTCCCTGGATAATCCCTTGTCCACAGGCCCAGCATTCTCTTCCCAGCCTAGACTCACCTGCCAGGAAGCAGGGCACGCCAGCTGTCTTGTTGATAAACTCGCAGGGGCTAGGCTTCTTGGTGACAAAGGGCAGGTAGGGCAGCCCGTGGTCTGAGAACTCCTCGTTGACAGCCATGAGGCCCAGGGGGCTACTGAGGTTGCGCAGATTACTGGCCAGGCTTGGCTCAGAGCCATACACGAAGCTGGCATCCAGGAAGGAGGTTAGAGCATTGATTTGCTCTCGGACTAGTGACTGGTAGGGTGGAGTGGGGCAGACGAACCCAGCTCGGAAGAAAGGCATGCACTTCCCTTGAGTCTCCAACTTGGGGTCATTGGGTGGGAACTGCAGAGACATTGGGAGTGGGTGACTGGGCAGGAACAGCACACTAGACTGACAGCCTCTCTCCCTGGTCAGACTGGATACAAAGATGTGATGGTACCCTCCTGGAACCCTGGTGCCAGACACTGACCCCAGATGTCTCCTTAGGGACATTTCACTTCCCTAGCCCAACATGTCATGAAGTTCATTACATCCTGTGTGTAAAGAGCTGAGAGTAATAATTCATTATTTCACAGCAAAGGCTCTGAATTTCTGGTGGGAAGGATGTCCTAGGATCCCTGGACAGGGAAATAGCACACGAGATGGGAAAGGGTTTTGTTAACAATTACTACCAACAAAAGTAACCCTTTGTTTATTCTGGACCCACSAGATGCCAGGCATTAGGCATACTTTATCTCAATTCAGTTCTTAAAACCATGTAAAGTAGACCATTCAGACCCCTTTTATGCATAAGAAAACTGAGACTCAGAAAGGTTAAGTAACTTGCCTAGGCACTTACAAACTGGAAGGGAAAGATGTGAAATTCAGATCCAGATTGACCCCATTCCACAGCTCCTGTCCTTTATACCACAGCATGGAGCCTTGAATTGTTATTTGAGTGAATAAATAACACTCTAACTGCAAAGCCCACAAATAAGAAGAAAGGTACACCATTACAAGCTCGTCTCCCTGTCTGCTGGACATTGTCACCAATCCTTGCTGCTCACTGACTCATACATCAAGTTTCAGTTCCTTCTGGGAGACACAATCATCCTTCAGGATTCCACCAACTTTAAATACAGGATGAACCTCCTGGGATATTGGGAAAATGTAGAATCTATTTTCCAGTGTTTGGAGGAGCCTTGAGATTTTGCATTTCTAATAAACCCTCAGGTGATACTGATGCTGTTGGGTAGGGGATATAACCCCCCACCCAGCTTCCCAATTTTGCAATTAGTAGTTTACTTGTCCATTTCCCACACTGAGCCTTTGTCCTTGAGAGCAGGAACAGTGTCTTACTCACCTTCAAATCCCAGTGCTTGGTGCATTGCCTGGCACAGGGTAGATGGTTAATGTSTAATTACTGAATAAATGAATGCATGAGGAAGGTTTGGAAAGCTATCAAATCAGCATCCAAGATCCATCATGAGACCCTGGYCTTTAGGCTGGGAATGTCTGTTACATGGGGTGGGCACGGGGCTTGTCAAGGATGTCCACCTGCTGGGGCTTACCATGATGGGGAAGCAGTTGCCTCCCTGGATACAGTACTCATCACACTGGGTTTTGGAGTACTCGCTACTCCCCATCTCTGTATCAGGGGCAAAGTCCAGATCGTGGTCCACAACTTGACCCCACTGCATGAAGAGCAGGGACCTGTTTTGATCCAGAACACCATCCTCGTTCAGATAACCAGCAATCTGATTGGATACCTCCCGGGCCTACAGATGCAGAGAGAAAAGGAGGGCAGATTGAAGGAAAAAGTGYTTTGAGGATTCAGAGTCAATTTACTGAGCACAGTGAGCTTGTGAGGTGGGTAGCATTAGTCCACTTTGTAAATAAGGAGARTGAATCCTAGAGAGGTGAAGTCAATGCTCTCAGGTCCTGGCAGGCATGGTACTGAATCCAGGTCTGTATCCCTTGACCATGCACAAGGTCAGTGCTTTCTCCACTACTGAGAGGGGAAACAAAAGCCGGCTGCCCCTGAAGTAAGTGCCACAGAGGGGCCAGGTGTCTGGGCGTAGGACAGGGGCTCTGGGGAGGTGCTGCCAACTCAGTTGAGGCCAAGAGATAGGACCCCCCAGGCAAATGACAGCTGATGCACCCCAGGGGCTGGGGMAGGGTAGGCAGGAGCAGGATGGGGCAGGGAAGCCATCTGCCTGGAGACCCCAGGGTATCTGGCCTGTGGCAGCTGGGACGTGACCATCACGTGGCTGGACCCCAGGCTCTGCTGCCCTCTAGTGACATTTTGGGGAACAACCCACATCATCTCTACTGGTGACTCCGCCGCGCATCCCTCTAGCCTCCCACCTATTTCTTTTCGTTTCCCTTGCGTGTTTGGGGCGTGCATCGGTCCCCCTCTGTCTCCCATCCTTCACCCGCATCCTCGAGGGCGCGCCCCACCCTGCCCGTCCGCGCTCACCAGCGGGATCGGGAAGCCGTTCCGCGTCCTCCCCGGCGTCCACCCGTAGGGCAGGGAAAGCCCGTCCTGGTACTCGGCGGGCAGCCAGCGAGCCAGGGCCCTGTTGGCGGCGCCCAGCGCCGGCTTCCTCCTGGAACCCAGCAAGACGGTCTCAGCCCTGGCCGTYGGTTCTGTAGCACTGAGTCCCTGAGGCCTGGGGTTCCAGGACGCACGACCCCGATGGGGACGAAGCCGGGAGCTCTGACCCAAAAAAAGGGGACACCTGGAAGGTGCCTCTTAAATGTGGGGTCCTGAATCCCCACCCCCAAGGTGCGGGCCTCCTATGACCTGGTGAAAGGGGACACTTCCTGAGGGATACCGTGGCTCACTGGAGACMTGCAATCTTTAGAAGGATCCAGAAGGACAAGGCGTGGGAGTTCTGCCTGGCTTGGCGGGGGCTGGGCAGGTGGGATGGGCGTGGTGGATGGAAGGCTCTGTCCCCCACACCCACCCCGGCCCAGTCACCTGTTGTTACAGTCTCCCGTGATGGTGCGGTAAGGACTGCCCATGTCGCATTTCTCTCCAGGAGCAGGGGCTTCACAGCCCACCTCCCAAGAGAGCAAAGTCAAGTTCAGGCTGGAGCCTAAAACAGAAGGGACACCAAAGGGACCWGGTTCTTTTTCCATTCTGAGGTAGGAAACAGGGTGTCAGCTCCTGCTTACCCAGAACAAGATAGAGATCTCATCACTTGCGAGATAATACCAGTAAATCCACCTGACACAGGAGGCTTAAATGTTGCCTCCACTGACAGAAGTGGTGACACCGGGTTTGGAACAGGGAGCCTGTGTTTATTGACCTTAGCACTTCCTCCAAGTAGAGGCCTCACAGATGGTATTACACAAAAAACGCCCACACCCCTCATTAGGAGCTGGCAATGTGACCTTGGTAGGTCTGAGTTCATTCATCTGCAAAAACAGCAGTGGTCTAGCTGTCCTCTAAGCACCTCCTGGCTCTGCCAGTCTGGCCTATAGCTCTCAGGGGGGAAGGAATGCCAGCTTCCAGCAGGCACTGCAGCTCTTGGCAGCCTCTGCTCTTTTCTGTGGGGAGATGATTCCTCCTGACCCCAGAGGGCTAGTGAGTTTTCTGTACCTGTGACGTTGGTCAAGGACGACTCCTGCCTCAGTCTCTTTAAGGACTCCTCCCACACCTGCCYATTGCAGATAGCTACTCGGGTTTGGCCTTTGGCTTGCTTGAGGTACTGTGAGAGATGTCGGGTGGTGGGAGTCTCAGAGCTCAGGGAGGACTTCAGCCTACAATGGAGAGCAACAGGGGGTCCTGTAGAAGGGAGTTGGTGGCCCATTGGAGGAGCATGGAGATGGTGTGTGCACAGGGAAGAGCCCCTGGGGTGTGGGCAGCACTTAGGATCTTTTCTTCATTTTTCTTCTAATACCTCTGGAAAACTTTTTCAGGGAGGAGGAAGCTACAGTGGTCGTTAGGTGTGTGTCAAGCTCTGAGGGAAGGTGGGGAAATGGATGAGAGCAGTCCCAGAGGGTAGTACTGGGCTGTCCTGAAAACTACCTAGGACCTATGACATAGACTTGAGGAACCCCTTGTTTTAAATTAGGTATATGACAGCAGAATGCATTTTGATTCATTGTAAACAGCTGCAGCACAACTTTTCATTTTTCTGGTTGTACACAATGTAGCATTGATCCATATGTGCAGTCATACATGTACCTTGGGTAATGATGTCCATCTCATTCCACCATCTTTCCTGCCCCCATGCCCCCACCCCAACCCTCCCTCCCCTTTGCCCAATCAAAGTTCCTCCATTTTTTCTATGTGCCCCTCTCTCATTATGGATCAGCATCCACTTATCATAGAGAACATTCGGCCTTTGTTTTTTTGGGATTGGCTTACTTCGCTTAGCATGATGTTCTCCATCTCCATCCATTTATCTGCAAATGCCATAATTTTATTCTTTTTAAATACTGAGTAATATTCCATTGTGTATTATGCCATAGTTTCTTTATCCATTCATCTATTGAAGGGCACCTAGGTTGGTTCCACGGTTTAGCTATTGTGAATTGAGCTGCTGTAAACACCGGTGTGGCTGTTACTATAGTATGCTGATTATACTGAGTAATGGGATAGCTGGGTCAAATGGTGGTTCCATTCCAAGTTTTCTTTTTTTTTTTTTTTATTGGTCGTTCACCATTCCAAGTTTTCTAAGGAATCTTCACACTGATTTTTAGATGGTGAACTTGCCCTTTCTTATCCCTCCCTTCCCCCAGCTCAGCCGCCAAGGAGGAGGAAGAGGGGAAGTCCAGGAAAGAGGGAGAAGGTCACTGGGCTCCCTCCCCAAGCCATTCTGAGCTGAGGGAAGTGAGCAGCCTGGGGCTTTGTCTCATGCTGACCTTTTAATTCCTGAAATGATACTGCTCTGGGACCAGAAGTGACTAGAGAACATTTCATCATCAAAAAGTCACCCAAAGAGTTATGGGACTGCTTCAGAGTTCATTCAAGGGCAAGGAGGAGAGAAGCCCTAGGTTTAGTATTAGGGACAGAATAAGAGGAAAGAATAAGGGTATTTCTGCTGGGTGCATGGTCCCTCTTGTCTCTTGTCAGCTCTCAATGGAATGTGGGGTCCTGAGTGCAGGAATCCAGTCTTCCTTGTGTATGTCATGAGTCCCAGTCCCTTCATGGGCGGAGGGTGGCTGATTGTGCTGGTGCCCTGGGGGATCCCAAGCTCTCTTGAGTGTGTTCTTTCCCTAGTTGTTGTCAGTGCAGCCACTAATAGCTGACCCTGTGACCTCGTTGGGCACTTTTTTTCTGAGCCATTGGAGCTCCCTGGCTGGAGGTCCCCAGGAGTAACACGAGTATGCTCCAGTACCTCCCTGTAGCCCCTAGCCTGCAGCCACATCTGCATGATGTGGGTAGGCAAAAGCCTTGCTCCTATTCTCCAAGCTGGGACAGGCTTTGGGGTACACCTTATACTCCAGGTCTCCCTGTGCATCAGGCTGAAGTTAGACCTGAACCCACATCCTCACTTAACTTCCTTCTTTTACTTCTCTTCCCTTCTCTTTTCATTACAGCTTCCCTGGGAGACCTCCCGTTCAGAATTACCTGCAAGCAAATCCAGGCCTTGGTTCTGCTCCTGGGGAACCTGACCCAAATTAGTCCATATTAATTAAATGAATGAAGATCTTCTGGTGAGGCCCAGTGGCTCTAGCCAGGCATGGTGGCACGTGCTTATAATCCCAGCTACTCAGGAGACTGAGGCAGGAGGATTGCAAGTTAGAGGCCCACCTGGGCAATTTAGCAAGACCCTATCTCAAAGTAAAATGAAAAGCATTGGGGATGTAGCTCAGARGTAGACTGCTCCTGGATTCTATCTTCAGTACTGCAAATAAAACAAAGCAACAAAAAGACCTTCTACTTGGAGTCTTTCTGAGATGAGTACACATAACCCAAAGAAACATTAGGCCAAACAGAAAGAAGTCTCTACAGGACTAGATGAGATGTCCTTTCTAGATACTTTAGAGGCTGAGGATTTTAGGAGATGGGAGCTATTGTCCCTCCTTGACACATACTTGGGGGTGAGGGGCAGGCGGAAGGACAAGCTTTATAATTGCTTTGGCTCACTGGCTTGTCAGAGCTGACCTAGATACGCTGGTTGTTACCAGGAATCCTGTGAGGGGAAGTACGCATATGCATCTCATATACATACCTGGTTCGGGAATCCAGGAAGGCCTTGTTGACTTGGACCTTGACCTGACTCACAGCATCTGAGATGGAAGCAGTGCTGTTGAACTGAGCTAGCGGGTGGGGAGGAAGGAAGAAGCAGAGCATCAGACACCACTCACTGGAGAACCTCTCGCTTCTGTCTCCCTCTTTCTCAGTCATTATCCCCACCAATCAAATCTGAGCAGTCAGAAGATCAAGACTAAGAAACTTTGAGAAGACCCTTTAAGGGATGGAAGCACAGAATGGGATGAGTACTCTCTAATCTTCAACAAGATGTCAAAATTACTCTTCCAAATTCTTCTTGAACACCCAGTGATGAGATTATTGAGTATCTGGTGTAACCATCCAAGTTGTCTGGGGCTCCCAGGCTAGGGGGATTTTTTTCTGGCTCCTTGGGGTGATGGTTCCATGGACCATTAAACAAGTCTGTCAAAAAGTTGACTGAGCTGACATGGTGGCACTGTAATGCCAGATTCGTGGGACCCCAATAGACCTCTGGGAGCCGAATCCGATGCAATCACACAAGAGCCTTTATTGCAAGCTTGAGCCTGGACTCACAACCGTTTCTGACACAGCGGTCCCAGAGAGAGAGAGTCCCAGTCCTTTTTCCAGTGAGATCTTATAGGTTTGGGGGGGATACTCTATGCGTCACAACATCACACAGCAAATAATTCCATACTGCAGGAAAGTCAAACAACAACTCTTAACATTGATTAGCACATTCACTGGTGGGAACAAGTTGGGTAGGGGTGATTGGTTAGTACAAGAGGGAGATTCCTTTGAACTGATTGGTTTAGGCCATGAGGGGTGTACGTGCTAAACTACATGGTTTTCCAACATGTTATCAACCACCATGAACTACTGGAGGGTCATCTGGCACCCCAGGTATTTTCCCTGTCTCATGCTGATTGGAGGTGGCTAGGGGGGTTGCTATGGGTCCTCACATAGCCTAACGGACAAACAACTCAGCAGGGTGGGTATGTGCTTAGGAGTGCTCTGTGGGTTTTTCCCAGGACAAGGATCATGCCCCCTTCCTTAGGACAGGCCTTGAGGTAGAAGCTGCTGTTATTTATTTATTTTCAAAAATGGAGTCATCAGTTTCTCAGAACACACCTGTAATTCCAGGGACTTGAGAGGTGGAGGCAGGAGCATTGCAATTTCAAAGCTAGCCTCAGCAAATTAGTGAGGCCCTAAGCAACTTAGCAAGACCCTATCTCAAAAGGAAAAATAAAAGGGCTGGGGATGTGGCTCAGTGGTAAAATACCCCTGGGTTTAATTCTTAGAACAAATAAAATAAAATAAAACAACTGATCACCAGGACTCTGAAGTAGGGAAKGGAATGGCATGAAGGTAGAGGCAGGATTCCTTGTTTTCATTCCTTTTGGAGTCTGGAGTGTAAGGGGTAGTCTCCATTCTCTGAACAAGGAGAATGTGGTGGATTGAAGATCCGTCCAAAACTCATTGCCCCTTGGAACCTCAGAATGTGATCTTATGTTTGCAAATAATCTTTGCAGATATAAAATGAGGTCAAACTGGATAAAAGGTGAACCCTAAATCCAACCCTAAATTTTGTGAGTAGAGAAGTGGACACACAGAGCAGGCCATGAGAAGGCTGAGGCAGAGACTGGAGTCATGCAGCTGTGACTGGAGGACATCAAGGATGCCTAGAGCCACTGGAAGCTGCAAGAGGCAAGGAAGGATCCTCCTCTAGACTCTTCAGAGGGAGCATGACCTTGCCATCACCTTGATTTTGAATTTCTAGCCTCCTGGATTGTAAGAGTATRAATTTCTGTTGTCCTCAGTCACCCATGTATGCTGCTTTGTTACAGCAGCCCCAGGAAGCAAATACAATGTGGCACTTACCACTTGTGTTAGATGCTGCAGCCTGGAGTGAGATCAGGAAAGTCAGGAAGGCTGGGAGCCAGAGAAGGACCCTCATCACTAAAAGAGATTCAGGAATACGGTGAGTCTCTCTGGAGCTCTAGTGGTGGGGACCGAACTGCAGAAAGGAGAGAAAGCCCCAGAGAACACCAGACACCCTAACATGGGAACAGGAAAGGGAGAACCACACGAACTCATTAAGCATCTATTGTATACACAGGCTCATTGTAGGTACTGAGAGAGATGAAAGAGGCAATGGTGGGATTCAGACTTAAGGCCCTGAGCTGTAGTTCTGTATTTGCTGTAGCCTTGATCTGTGATCTTGCCCAGTTACTTAAACTTCTCTGGGCCCCTGGCCTGCCCAGTAAAGGGTGAGACCGAGTGATCCAGGATGTCTGATTCTGCCCTGACATCCTGTGATCTGAGATCCTATACYTATTTTGTGCCTGATCCTATATGAGAAATGTTGTTACAAACCTCTTAGAGAGCTCTCTCCTCCCTCCAGGACATTTTCTTTCCTTCCCGTCAGTCTCCACTGGTATAGCACCAGAGTGGTGTGCCCAAGAGGCAAACACTCATGCCCCTCTTCAAAAACCCCACAGGACTTTCTCCTGCTTCAGAGAGTCAATTTGGTATGAAGGGTCCCCTGAGGCCACAGCTGTGTCCCAGGCTTCTTGGAGAGATTCTGGTTCCTGAAGTAACCCCTTCATCATGACATTTAACTCTGAACCTAAAGCAGCAGAGTAAAAATTTGACAAACTTTGTCTTTTTTCAGTATTGGGGATCGAAGTCAGGGCTATAAGCTAGGCAAGCACTCTGTCACTGAGCTACATCCCTAGCTGTATCCTGGGCAGCCTTGTCTTTTGATGAGGGTTTTCATTGGGCTGAGTGAAGTTGACTTAAAAGATCTTTTGAGGAGATTCTGGCTGCACTCTGGGGCAGGGGGTGCCATGGTGTGCAGATGGGATATGGTGTCATTATACCAGGCTCTTGACAGGATCCTCAGCCTTCAAAAGAGGGTCTGGCTTTTCTCTACATCACGATGTTCCCTGGTTGGACTCCARAAACTGTCCAGGAGAACAACCTCAGATGGGCCACCCCCTCCRTATCTGCGCAAAGCTCCCTGCAGTTCTGAAGCTTTGCCTCAGAGCAGCCCAGCCCACCTCCCAGACACTCCCCAAAGCGCCTCCCCGTGGGGCAGCCYGGACCAGAGAAAGAGAACCATGTCCCTGGACCATGTAATTTTGGCCTCCTTCACATACCTCAATCTTCCCCTCTGCCCTTGTCTCCCCAACCCCTGAGTGATCTTTATTTGTTGAATATATTTTTTGTAAACAAACTTTAGAAAGAAGGCAAGATAAGAGAAAATATCTCTCTGGCCAAGAACTTCCCCCTGCTCCCCACCGCCACCCGCCAGGGAGAATTCTCCAACAGTTCAACCCCTCAGTGGGCTCTTGTCTTTAGACRTGTATGGTCCTGAGTTGGAAAAGCTGACTCTGTGACCTTCTCTCCCTGTTTCCCTTTCTTTGTGGGTGCGAGGACCACTTGAGGGTTCACTGAGTCAACAGAAATTTGCTTTCAGGCAAACAAAGATGTTGGTTTGGAAGTAAAAGGTTTGGTTGGCTTTCAGAAGAAAAAAGGTATGATTAAAACACACACACACACACACACACACACACACACACACACACACACCACACAGCAGGGCTGTGGTTGTGGCTCAGTGGCAGAGCGCTTGCCTAGCACATGTGAGACACTGGGTTCCATCCTCAGCACGACATAAAAATAAATAAATAAAATAAAGGGTCTTGAGTCCATCTACAACTAAATTTAAAAAAAAATTTTAGATGTACAAAATATTTTATTCATTTATGTGGTGCTGAGGATTGAAACCACTGCCCCACACATGGAAGGCAAGTGCTCTACCACTGAGCCACAACCCCAGCCCTACAACTAAATTAAAAAAAAAAAAAATTCCCGATGTTAAATTATTTAAAAAGAAGCACACAGCATATTTACTATCTTACCACTCAGGATAGTTCAGAGCTCTAGAATATTTATTTATTCATTTATTTACTTATTATGGTACTGGATTGAACCCAATGCCTCATGCTTGCTAGGTMAGTGTTCTACCATTGAGCTTCATCCCAGCCTTTTACAATTTTAATTTGAGACAGTTTTGCTAAATTGTCCTGGCTAACCTTGAACTTGCAATCCTCCKGCCTCAGCATCCAGAGTAGCTGGGATTACAGGTGTGCATCCTTGCACATGGCTAGAACCTTTTCATTCTGCAAAACGGAAACTCTACTCATTGAAACCAACTTCCCATTCTGTCCCCACTCCAGTCTCTGGCAACCTCCATATCACTGAACAAGGACTGATGGGCACGTGAGCATTCGTTATATTACTCTTTGAATGACTTAAGGACACGAATTATGATTAAAAGATCAAACTATGAAAAATGGCCTCATCAGAGACTGAGGAAGAAAAAAATATCACAACTGAAAGATGAAATTTGAGAAATCTGAGCAGGAAACAAAATTGAGATACTTGTTTCTCCACTCCTTTTCTTTGAGACATTTTTCATGCTTTCCTCCCTGGAAAATTAGGGAGGGAGGAATTCGAGGTCAAAGCTGAATAATTTTCTGTGTCTTGGCCATGTTCCTGATTGGTATGAAGGAAGGGTGTGGAACAGAAAGCAGAACCAGGCAACTTGGGATCTTGCCACTGAAAGATGGGTATGCAGAAAAATTATGGAAAGACACTGTCAGCAGCCAAAACCAAGCAGGGCAAAGGGCAGGGGCCACGGGTTTCAGAGTATACAAAGCCAACAAGAGGCTTCTGTGATGTTTGGATGTTTACCCACATTCTTATCCTCACAGTTAAGGCAGAAAGCTTTTCTCAAGTCCCTGGGTTTTTGCCAAAGCCTGCAGCCTTTCCAGTGCCCCAGTCTCTGCCCCTCAAMCGTCAAGTTGGTCCACAATCCCATGACTTGACTTATGCAATTTCCTCTATGCCTCATAAACTCTGGTAATTCTTTAAAACSCACACCAAATGCCTCTGTGAAGTTTACCAAATTCTCCAAAGTTAGGTCATTTCCGCACCTTCTGGTACTTTCTCTTACACTACTGTTTTCATGCCTGTGTCCCTATCAGCCCATAGTTCCTTAGGGCAATATCATGTGTGTTTCCTTTTCCAGTGCCTAAGCATAGTGTGGGTACTTAATAGGGGCCAGGTTGGTGCTGAATGAATGACAGAGCAGAGAAGTCTTCCATCTGGACATTACCAAGGGAGACAGTGGTGTGTTCTCTTAGCAGGCTTATCACATCCTAGTGTACCTCAGAATCACCTGGGGATCTTGGTAAATGCACGTCTGCAAGCTCCCAGGGGAAGCTGCTGGTCTGTAGAACATACTCTGAGAATCATGCCTTTTGAGAGTTTGGCTCCCACACTACTGAGCACTCACCAAAGAGACTGGAGGAAGGCCTGAGAAGGGAAGGAACTGGTGGGATTCTTTTTCATGAATGGTAAGAACTCTGTTGAAGGTGGTAAATGAGCAATAGGAAAGCCAAAAAATATCAACGTGCCCTTTCCCCGCAAAACACTCTATTTGATCTTTTGAGCAGCTCCAGAATCAAGAGGAGGCTGAAGAGGAGATAGCTGTGATATGATGCATGCTTTTTGGTTTTCATCCATAGTACCTGGCTCAAAATGCCCTCCCTAGGTTAGGCCATACTAGAACTTATTAGAACATACGAGAACATACTAGAACTTTTTTTTCCCCCCAAGACAAGTCACAGAAGCTCTGATCCCCTGCCTTTTTTGTCTTAGAGCTAGTGATAATAAAATTCTCCAACCTGCTTTGTCTGAAAGATAACAGTCCCATGTCAGAAGGGGTCCTGCCCTATGTTTGGGAGGGTGGAATGCTGCCCAGAGAGGTCAAGAAGAATCTGGACAGGCTTGCTGGGTTTACCCACTCAGCCTATCAGCATTAGATCTATATGGTTGTCTGGGCTTCTGATATGCTTATCTAATAAATATCCATAAAAAAAACCCAAAAGGACAGAATTCAGAAAGTTTCTAGTAGTTGAATCTATGGAGGTTTCTGGAAGGTGGTTTGCCCTGAGAGGGCATGGAAATTCCGTGTTTCTTTCCTTATATCTTGCCGTATTGCACCTCTTCATCTGTATCCTGTCCAATATCTTTTATTAAAAATTGGTTAAACATAAATGATTGTTTCCCTGAGTTTTGTGAACAATTTTAGCAAATTAATCAAACCTGGAGAAGGTGCTGTGGGAACTGATTTATAGGCTTGTGGTTGGCACRTGGAGCAGCTAGGGGTGCGGTCCTGAGGCTGAGCTTTCAAYCTGTGAGATCTGATGCTATCTCCAGGTATACAGTGTCAGATATGAATGGGATCAAAAGGCATACCGCTGATGTCCAAGCACTGCCTGCTTGGTCAGTGGAGAAAACTCACACACACCTGGTGCCAGAAACATGTTGTCAGAATATAGTAGAAGAAACTGAATTTGAGTTTAAATTTGTTTTCCTTCTATAGATCAATGGCTCTCATCAAGCCCTGTAGAGCAGAAATAATCTTCTACTTCTGCTKAAAGTGTTGGTTACATGCAGAATGCATCTGATTGCATAAGAAACAATATGGCTTAATYATCCAGTCTCCAAAAGTGAACCCCAACTAGCACTGCCACAGGCCCTGCACCTGATCATTTAAGGTCATTTAAGGCACTAGGGACTMTTCAGGGCTAATTAGATGTTCAGATCTGCTACAGATTGCAGGCAAGCGATGCTGTAGATGAGATGAATGTCTGCAAGCCTTGGTTAAGGGAGCCCCTTAAAACATTGCGGAATTTCCACTATAGTGAAGGGTCATACTATTTTACACTCATCTCAAGAACACCACATGGACCACCATTCTGTTACTATCCCCCCAACTTTCTGGGTGATCCTGCATGCCAGTCTTAAGCCTCAGTTCCTAAGAAGGATGGGTTCTAGGAGGTATACGGTACCTTCTAGCCCTGAGAGTTTATGATTCTATGACTTAGTTTTCAGGAGCCGAAAAACTTCCTTGCTCTGTAGTAGATTTAGACACATTTTCTCTCACACCAAACAGGGACGATAGCCAAATCTGGGCGCACACCCACAAAACCCCCAGGAAGACAGATCTAAATTCTGCACTAAGCTTTCTGAAAAGTCTTTAGGAAATTTCACCAGCAGCTTTGCAGAAACCAGGAAAGATTAATGTGAACAGGTCTTACCTGCCAGTGCCTTGGCCTCCTGTGGCAGCCAGGAGAGTTGCTGTGCTCTGAGGAGCTGGTCTTTTATACTTTCTTGCAGGAATTTATTTCTGGGAAAGGCCCAGAAGGAAAGATTTTGAGGGGCTGAAGTGGCTTGAAGGAGACACTCAGGTTGGGCAGGAAACACCCTTGTGACTCCAGGCAGGTGCACGAGGAAACTGCAGAAATGTTAAGGATTGGCTGGTGTAATACTGTTGACTCTGAGTGAAGCAACTCCTCTTCTTCCCATTTTCCAGTTTAAATATACCTGGTAGAGTCGGGGAAGGCAAAACTCCAAGACGGAGCATGCTTGTCTCTTAACCCCTAAGGTTCCGAATAATTCTTTAAATTGCAAATAATTAAATGGCACTCTTTTCCCATTCATTTTTTTTTTTTTACTGCTTTTTGACTCCTCCTTTGCCTTTCATCCAATCTATTGTACAATCAATGGATTTAGTTCTGGAGATTTAAAGTGATTAAAAAACATTAACTTTTGTTGGTCAAAATGGTAGACAGGTGACATTTTAGAGGAAGCCACTGTCTGTCAAGTTAAGAGCCCTAGGGTTGTCATCAGGCTGGTAGGTTTCAGTCCCTGCCTCTGTCACCATGTGCCTCTGAACAAATCACTTCACCTTTTGATGTCTTCAGTTTTCTAGTAGTAAAATCAATGGATGGTTTAGATTTTTATTATGATTATGATTCTATGACTTTATGCCTTCTACAGGTTGCCCCATTAAAAAATACCAGCATCCTAGAAATTAACGATCTAATGCCTGGGTATTAATGTTATATGTCTTCTACCTCAATAGCTTTAAAAATTCAAATTCATTAGATCCACACCAAATGAAAACAGGAAGAGTAAAAAAAAAGTCATGAAAGTGTATTTTACATACAGACATTTTAAAACATAAGCCTCTTTATGAAATGATACTTTGAATTGGAAATACTCTGGGCATTTAGACATTCATAAACTTGTCTAGCTGAACCCAGATCCTTTGGCTTACCTTAAAAAAAAAAACTGATGTCCCTTTTCCAGTAGATGGGCTGTATCTAAAGTCAGTTTCTCTTGCCATGAAGCCAGGCAAATGAGGTGGGCATCTCAGAAGGCAGCTATCCAGGGAAGGTGAGTAAGACTTCAGGCTCTTCTTTGAAATATGTTTCAGTTCCTTGGGAAAGCACTGTTTATCTAATCATTCCCTGAATGTTGGAATCTGCTTCTGGGTTTCAAACTTAGGGTCCAGGAATCAATATCTTTAGATTTAGATGTTAGGGTTTGTTTGTTTGGCTGTTTGGTTTTGGTGGTGCTTGGAATCTCACCYAGAGCCTGACACATGTTAGGCAAATGCTCTACCACTTGAGTTATATCCCCCGCCCCTATAGAGGGATTTTGATCTCATTGAGTCTGGATTATTTCAAGACGGAACTTCCTTCTAGAAGATCCCATAATACAACTTCCTGTGGGCAATATACTATGAGCTACCAGAGTTAGGGTATCAGCAAAATGAGGATCTGACTGCCTCTGGGTCTTTGTTATGCTATGACATCATGTGGTATGTCCTAGCTTGGACTTTTACGTAATGCTAGAGAAGKAGCAGGTCAGCTGCAGCCTAGTATGGTTCATCCAATGATCTTGGCATGAAGTATACTAGTAGACATGTTGCCATCTTACAGTTTATTTGTATTTTCATAAATGTGCTGACACAACATGGATGACATGTTTTTGTGGGCTTCTCTTAGTCTAGTTAAATCTGCTCAGCACAGCTATTAGATGTCCTCCCAGTAGGTAATGTCAAATTAGTCTGATAATGGAGATTGGGAGACAGAACATCCAGGAGAAAAACTAAAAAAGTCAGCAACTTCTCATAAGGCAACACAGAGATTCCAAGATATTTTAGCAATAGCAGCAGTGGTGTCAATGGAGAGTGCCCAGTGAAGATAATGTGCACACCCAAAACATACATCCAAGACTGTGCACACACACACACACACACACACACACACACACACACACTTTCCAGAAATTCAGACATGGTTGGCTTACCTCTGTTGCCTTTCAGAATTAGAATGTGGCATGCTATACACACACCTTCGGCTGATCAAGGGACACTCATGGTCAGTGATAGAGTGACCCATCTCTTTGCTTGAGGTGATCGTAGCATTCACATAGGCTCATGGCCTCCCAGCCATCCCCACCACCACAGGTACCATCTCCCTTTGGAAGCCCAGCCAGTCTCTTCCTTAGCTGCCTGTTGGGCAGTTATTCATCCCTGGGCAGGTTATTTTTTTCTTTCTGAGCTAAAATACATCTCCTCTTGTTGATTTCCTAGAATACCCAACAAACAGACTTCTTGTCCTGAGTACCGCTCCATATGCCAATGTAACCTCTTTGGAAATCATCTACTTGTTCAACCTACCCCAGAGAGTGGAGAAACCCAGATGTCGTGGCTTATGCCATCCCTGGCCTCTGGAGKGGTATGCAGATGACAAAGGGTCTCTGAATGACAGCTCTGAGCAGTGCAGGCTCTGGAGAGGGCTGGGGACACTTCCAGGCAGCCTCCTTCAGAGTGAGAAAAGATTCATGGATAAGAAAAATTAATGCCTGGGGTAGATGGTGTTTCCTTTGGGACACAGGAAGAGGCTCTGCTATTTTGCTAAGTATTTTTTTTTTTTTTTTTTACTGGGAGGATTGATCTGGTATCTAGTGGCTTCTGAGCTTGACATAGCATAAGGGTTTTGAGGGCAAACCTAGTGTTCAATTAGCCATAGCATATTGGGCCTGAAGAGCTTGTCTCATACAGGTACTCCCTGGGAACCAGCCTAGTGGGGAGGAGGGTGAATTCCCAAGAACCTCCCTGGTGGGTGGGTAGAGTGCTGTTCCTCTCTGCTCTTCATGAACGGAAAATGTCTTTTTCTAGTCAAGGCCATTCTCCCATTTCCCATCAGTGATCTGTTTCTCCTTTCTTCCTCTTTTCCTCTTTCCCTTAAATATTCATTAAGCACTCAATATTATGTACTTCTTATTTTTTTCTTACTTTCATTCCTCTTTCTTCCCAATTAGCTTGAAAATTATGAATTTTAATAAGTTTGCTTCAAACGAAAAAGGTGTCAGATCTGTTCCTTGTCTTGGCAGGGTAATACAGAGATATGGCTGGGAAAAGTGACAGATCTCAGAGCTCATCCAAGACAACTCGGCCCAAAATAAATCCTGAAATGGCTGGGCTGGAGATGGGGTGATAAACGACGAACTAATCAAATAAGTCACAAATAAACTTAGGATTTTAAACCAAAACCAATCTCGAATTATTATTGGTACTCTCTAGGAGCCTGAGGAAGCAGGCTTCATGGTAAATTCATAGAGAAAATGTCACMTCAATAAAATGCCAGGTTTCTCAAGCAAGCACATGTGTGCACACCCCCTCCCCGAGATATGACAATGAGCAACTAGTAGAAATGCACAGAACACTGAAGTATTAAAGCTCCATGAGCCAGGTTCTAACCCTAGCTTGCTGATCACTGGTGGGAAGTCACCCTTCATTCAAAGGCCTCAATCTCCTTATCTATGAAGAGATGTGGGTCCACTCAATAATAGTGGTGGTTCTCTTGGGCCCTAGTGGATAGAATTCTTTCATGAACCATCAACTAGATCTGTGAGGTCCTAGCTCCAGTCTGCTTCTCTTCCATTGTACCATCTTGTACATGTCACACATCCTCAGGCTGCCTTTACACAAGAGGGATCAGAATCCTGTTATTACTGCTTGGACCGGTTAGGATGTGGTTAAGAGGACGGTTTCCCCAAAGACCATTCTCCTTAATTCCAAGGGCAGCCAGAAACAGAACAACAGGAGAAATCTTGTTGAGAAAGAGGAAGAAAAAATTCATGTGTGGTCATCCTCTGAGTGACTGAAGTTGGAAACCTGGGAATGATCCTGGGCTATTCACTCTTCTTTTCTCTTTCTTCTTTCTCTTATCTCCCCAGCCACGGAGTGCTGCCTGCTTTTCCTGCATAAATCTCTTGCCTCAGTTGCTTTACCTTCCCCTCATTTGGGTTCTGCCCAGAATCATCTCTATCTCACTCCAAATCCCATCCCCTTCTCACTGGTCTCCCTGCCAGGCTTCATTTCCACCCATCCCCACAGGTTACACTAAAGCTTTTCCTATACAGCCTTCTACTACCCGCAGAACAAATCTCAGAGGCTTCTACACTGCCTAAGCTGTTATCTCTCTAGCCGGTCACATGTCACTCTTCTTCATTTCAGCCAAACCAGCCTGTCCATGTGCCATGACATGCCACACGCTATCCTACATCTGTGTCTTTCCCTCTGCCAGCCCCCATGCCCGAATTGTTCTCTTCCTTCTTGTTCAAGTCTAATATCTAGCTCAAGTGTTCTTTTCCATGAATCCTGTTTGCCGAGCTCCAGATAGTTTTGTATATTGCTTCTCTTTCTCTCCCCTTTGCTTTTCTTCTTTATTTCCTCGTGTCTTTCCTCTTGCCCAAATTAGATTAGAAACTCCTCAGGAGCTCTAAATTGTGTCGGGCCGTCAATCATACTTGTTTTGATAATTAAGATGATAACACTGGTGTAACCCAGTTTTTCAAACCTTGACTGTCAGTTCTAAAGTTTGTCCCAGAAACCATGTTCTAGCTTGATTGAGACACTGCAGCTATTTGAAGTATAGCTAGAAAGTATACTCTTTGCTTATTTCTCTTCTCTCTTCCTTTTTCCCTGACTGAGAGTCCCCCTGGCCCATCAAACTGGTCAGAATCAGAGAAAGCCAAGTGATCACAAAGAACATCTGAATATTGGTTCTCTTACAGTTGAGAGAAAATTGTATCTAAAGCCCCATTTTTTTCAACCTTAAGAGGATCTTTAATGCCTGTTCCCCAGATGCCCAAAGAATCTTCCAGAAGTAATACAACCCATGTGCCCCCAGTCTTGTACAGTTGCGTTCTTAGATCTCTGTGTCAGATGGAGGCTGGAGTCCTGAATGGACATTCCAAAGAAGGCTTGGTTCTTCCCTGCTGAGTAACCCATGATGGTGACACTAGGGTGTGTGCTTACACACACCTTACGGTAGGCACAATAAAAGGCTGAGTTCTCTCTCCTTTCCTGGAGCTCACGGGGTGATGTAGAGGGCACCAGGGTAAAAGATGCTGTGGAAGAGTGGGGTGGAGGCTAAAAAAGGATCAAGTGCTGGGACAGATGCTGTGGTGGCATTCCTTCTACTCTGGTGAGAACCTGGGGAGGGGTAAGGGATTATTTGTCTGTCATTTTTCTCACAGTGCTAAGAGGT